TAAAAAAAAAAAAAAAAAAAAAAGAAAAGTCAGGTAGGAGAATCTGTCCTAATGAACCGATGTCTCTGAAATTCTGGAACCTCATTACCTGAGTCACCCATTAGGATTGAGCACAATGTACTACCTTGACAGAGTTTGGATGTGTTGTCCCCACCAAAACTCATATGGAAATTTGATCCCCAATGTGGCAGTGTTGGAAACTCATTGAGCCATGGGGGCAGATCCCTCATGAATGGATTAATCCTCTCCCTGGTGGAAGGGGGAGTAATGAGTGAGTTCTCGCTCTATTAGTTCCTGCAACAGCTAGTTGTTTATAGGACCCTGGCACCTCCTCTCTCTCTCTTGCTTTCACTCTCTTAGTTCCTCTCACCATAAGATGTGCTTGTACCCGCTGGCTGCCTACCACTTTCCACCATGAATAGAGGCAGCCTGAGGCCTGTGCCAAATGCAACTGTCCCAGAATCATAAGCCAAATAAACCTATTTTCCTTACAAATTACCCAGTCTCAGGTATTTCTGTTATAGCAACACAAAACAGGCTAATACAGAAAATTGGTACCAAGGAGTGGGGTGTTGCTATACAGATACCTGAAAATGTGGATGCAGCTTTGGAACTGGGTAATGGGCAAAGGTTAGAGGAGTTTGGAGGACTTAGAAGAAGAGAAAAAGATGAAAGAATGTTTGGAACATTTTAGAGATTGATTAAATGGTTGTGACGAGAATGTTGATAGAAATGTGGACAGTAAAGACCACGCTGATGATGAGGTTTCAGATAGAAATGAGGAACTTATCGGTAATTGGACAAAAGGTCACCCTTGCTACACCATAGCAAGGAATTTGGCTGCATTGTGTCCATGCCTTTGGACTCTGTGTAAGGTGGGACTTAAGAGTTGTGAGCTAGAATGTGTGGCAGAAGAAATTTCTAAGCAGGAAAGCATTAAGGAAGCTGCATGGTTACTTTTAACAGCCTACACTGAATTATGGCAGCAAAGGCATGTTGTAAAGCCAGAATTTAAAAGGGAAGCAGAGCATAAAGATTTGGAAAATTTGCAGCCTGGCCATGAGGTCCTTGTATCAATATTAATCAGTAGAGAGGGAGCTTCTGCTGGGCTGTGACAGGGCCTGACTCATCCTCGTCATTGGTGCCTGCTGGGCAGTGATCTAAATCAATGGTTGCTTAAAGTGGTTGGTTTTCAGTATGACCTGGTTTGCTTTAAAAAATAAGTGACTGGCAAACACCAGACTTCCAAGCCTTATGCCCAGATTTTCAGTGCAGTAGGTTTAGGCTGGGGCTTAGGAAATCTGTAATTTTAGAACATTTCGTAGGTGATTTTGGTGATCAGACAAGTTTCAGAATAAATGTTAAACTGAACTGAAACTGTGTGTGTGTGTGTGTGTGTGCACACGTGCATGCATATTTATAGTTTTCCCTATGAGATCACACGGCCTATCTGCTTGTCTTTCTTCCTTCTGCCTATTAAGTTTCAGGTGCCAGATGTGATCTCTGATCTCACAGAGTTCTCTCTGTAGTGAGGGCAAAGTCATAGTCTGTAACTCTGTTATCTTCAGTGCCTAGCCCCCAAATGGCCTGCACAGAGTAAATGATTATTAATTGCTTTATTGATAACTGCTAGAAACCCAGTTTCCTGTGTGCCCGACCCACACAGTGTGGCCTGTCAGCCTGGCAGGGAAGAAGTGGGACTCTCTGGCCCATGATATCTTCTGAGACCCTCCTTGCTGCACATCAGTCATGGTGACCATCCTGTTGGGTGACTTCAAAATTTTCTGGATGATTGACTGTCTTTCAACAGTCCTTTTACAGATGGGTAAAGTGAGACTTAGAAAATAACTATTCCAGGTCCCCTGAGCTGGTATGTGGTGGAGTTGGGGTTTAATCCCAAATCAACAGAATGAGTTTGACTCCATTTTTGTGCCTGACTCATAAAACCAAAGTTAATATCTTAATATAAACATAAAATTAATAATACCTATTGCCTTAATACCAGGCAATGGGCTGACAAAATTATTACACACACGACTTTAACAAAAGTTTTTTTTGTTTGACCAAAGGAAGCATTTGCAGAAAAGATATTAATTCAACACTTTGCCCCTCCTTCCTAAAACACACACAATCTTTATCATATTACCTCTAAGTTCAGATTTTATTTTATTTTATTTGGCAGCTGGCTGCTACAGGGATCCGAACCTGTGACCTTGGTGTTATAAGGCTGTGCTCTAACCAACTGAGCTAATCAGCCAACCAGATTTTAATTTAACATACATAAGGGAACCCTAGTAAATGATGACAGGCTCAAAAGACTAGTCACAAGTAACTCAAGTTAGCAAAAAAGGCATCAAGTAAAAATTTTTATGATACATCAACCACTCTTTTTCCCAATAAATCTTGAAAACAAAAATTGGTCTCAGTTTCTCATTTTTAATGTACTTTCCTCCTCTGAATTATGTAAAGCTTCCAAGGATATAAATACCTCTATATACAAAGGAGCAGTACGGCAGTACATGTGACTTTATACATCTGACACTTTTAAGGAAAAAAATCATGAAATTTTGCTTTAAACCTATTTTTAAATTCTAAAAAGAAGCTAATTTGAAACATTTTAAATCTAATTTGTTAACTGGCCATATTATTTTTTATTTGAAAATAACAAAATTATAACTTGAGCAAAACTGGTTGGAAACGAGAAGGAGGAATTCTGCCTTCCCTAAGCTTTGCCAGTGAGGAAGCTGGTAGCAATTAACAAGCCCAAGAAGAGAAGAGGGAGTTGAGTGTATCTTCCCACATTCTGTAGAGTCAGAGCGGCTCATCGCAGAGGTTTAAACTGGTCCATCTCCCTAGAAGGTAGAAAAAGTGAATGAACTGTGGTGTCATTTCTTTTTCTTACATGGTTTTTTCTACCCGCCTCCCTCTTGCCCCTCCCCGTCAGCCTTCTTCCTCCTGCCCCTCACTGGTTGCCCCTTGAATGTTTCCTATACTTTTCTGACTTTGTTTCAGAGCTTTAATCTGTCACTTACCTGTGCTGAGGTTATACGAGTTGAAGCTTCATTTTGGTTTTCATCATTTATTATTAAAAATAATTTTGGTAAGAGGCCCAGAGAGATCAAGCGCTGTGTGGAAAGCCACAGCTAATGCGTAGAGGAGCCGGGACTTGAACCCGGGAGGCTGAACCCAGAGACTGTGCTCCCTTCCTTCAAGTCATACTGCCTCACTAATTTTCATGGTGTTAGTAAATGACAATCAGCACCATTTACCGAGGCTTCTAAGTGTTGATATGGATGCGTGTTTATCCCCGTGTGTTAGGCACTCAGTTGGCAATCTTAGGAGGTAGGTATGAACCAGGTTTATGGACGAGAAACCATCGAGGGCAGGTGACTGGACCAAGACCACACAGCTGGCATTCAGGCCAGGACTGAAGGACCGTGCCAGGCTCAGGAAGCTCTCCATAACTACTTCTGCCTGAATGGATGGATCGTGGCCTGCACCCTCTCAATAGATTAGACAAGAGGTGGAAAGAGGGTAACTGAGTGAGAGGATAGCTGACTTGCTTGGGGCACTCAGCAGTAAGTTTTGGAAATAAGCTGAGAGCCCAAGTCACCTGCAGTGTCCTGCTGGTGTAGGAATGCTGACCAGCTGCATGCGAGGCAAACTGCAGACAAGAAAGGAGTCCTCAGTGGGCTGGTTTTTAAAAACTGCCTCGAGAGGATAGCTGACTTGCTTGGGGCACTCAGCAGTAAGTTTTGGAAATAAGCTGAGAGCCCGAGTCACCTGCAGTGTCCTGCTGGTGTAGGAATGCTGACCAGCTGCGTGCGAGGCAAACTGCAGACAAGAAAGGAGTCCTCAGTGGGCTGGTTTTTAAAAACTGCCTCTCGTGCACGGAAATTTTAGTAGTGAAGTTTCGTGATGTCTGCAAATTACTTTCCAAGAATTCAGAAAGAGACAGGGTGGGCAAATATTAACAATCTGTGGATATAGGTGAAAGTATACAGGTGTTCATTGTACTATTTCTTCAACTTTTATGTATATTTGAAGTTTTCAAAATAAAAAGTTGGAGAAGAAAGAGAGAGGAGAGAGGGAGGAAGGGAGGAAAGGAAAAGAGAATTCTGGTGGTGTACATTCTCTCTCTGTGATGTTCCCGAGTCCATGCCCCAACAGCACGGAGTCCATCCACCCCACTAGAGACTTGACACTCTTTCCACTATCAAGTGATTCAGTCATTAATATCACCAAAATACGGTATCTGAATAAATAAAACCCACTGAAAAGACTCTATGTACTGGCACCTATGAGTGTGTTTTTAATTGACAGATAATCCTCAGATTTAGTAAACTACTATCATTTATTCAAAGAGCAATCATATTTTCAATAAATCTTGCAAAGAAAATGTACTACTCAGCTAAAATATATGATTCTCTTTTTAGCTGATTTAGCAAACATTAATTCATTTAGGATGAATTACAAGTTTTAAATGCTCAATATTCTTAACTGCTATTGCAAAAATAACTTTGGTGGATTACTAACTGGTAGTTCCTGCACCCCTCATCCCCCAATTATGTATAAAGACCAAAAAATTTAAATACAAAATGATAGAATTGAAAATTTATAAAACAAAAATTCAATAGGCAGTAAAATTTGTTTGTAATACATGCATTTTACTATTTTAATTTTAGGACTTTAATAATATTTTTACATTTTAAAAGTAATATATGATTATTACAATTTTTTTGGAATACCATAGTCTAGAAAGAAAGAAAAAAGGCAGTCTTCTTACCCAGAAACAACTATCATTTAACATTTTGGTTGGATTTGCTTTTTTTTTCTACTCATGATGGTTTTTAATTTTTTTTTTATTTTTTATTTTATTTTATTTTATTTATTTTTTGTCTTTTTGTCTTTTTCCGTGTCTGGCAACGGATCGCAACCCTCAGTGTTGCCCCCGTACCGGACCGGGGACCGGCAACAGGATCGCAACCCTCGGTGTTGCTCCTGCCCCTCGCTCAGCCAGTGAGCGGGAACCGGTCTGTATGTGGGATCCGAACCCTCGGGCGGGAGCACCACCGCGCTTCCCAAGCGGCACACTATCCAGTGCGCCACCGGGCTGGCCCTCATGATGGTTTTTTTAAGGGAGCGCCGCCGCGCTTCCCAAGCGGCGCACTATCCAGTGCGCCACCGGGCTGGCCCTCATGATGGTTTTTTTAAAAAAATTTTTATTTATATAATTATATATTATGTAGAATTTTCATATCTCACTCTTTTCAAATAACACTATCTCATAAACATTTTCAGTATTATTGTAGCCTTGGGGAAAATACTCCTTTAAGATAGGGGAGATAAAAATAAGAAAAAACAAACTCTTAGAAGATATACAAAAAATTATGTAACCTTACATAGGTGGGGAGACTGGAGGGGACTGGAAGACAAAGGTGGGGGGAGACTTGCCACCTGAAGACCTTATGTATTTCTGTGTGTCTACACACACGCACATATTTAATTTTTGAGCTATGTGCGTATAATACTTTAAAAAATTTAAATAAAATGATTGAATCATCTAAAGTTTTGCCATAATACGAAGACCTTATGTATTTCTGTGTGTCTACACACACGCACATATTTAATTTTTGAGCTATGTGTGTATAATACTTTAAAAAATTTAAATAAAATGATTGAATCATCTAAAGTTTTGCCATAATACTATATTAAGTGGATAGACCATAATCTACAGTTATTTACATAATTCCCCAATTAAGGAACTATCAAGCTTTGTTCAATTTTTTTTCTCATACATCAAACTATGCTTTTAATAACTGTGTGTGTGTGTGTGAATAATTGCCTGATTTGATTTGGTCATTAGTTGAAATAATCAGACTGTCTTACTGTCATAGGTCTATTTTTATTTTTTTATATATATTATTGTTGATATTTTATGATAGTATTTAGAGACTAAATGTACGTAATTTTTTTTCTTCTCACATAAGAACCACTTCTCTTTGGTATACCATACATTGGTATGCTCTGTTCTCTTGAGGAAATGAGAACATTCTGGGCCAGACCATGATGTATTATTGCTAACAATATGCCCATACGACAAATGCTCACTTCCTGTGGATCTTCATATAAACGTCATTGTAAACTTTTATATGTAGATGAAGTCCTTTGTTACCAGGACTATGGCCAACTGGAGGTGAGGCTCAAAATTGTGGTCAGCTCCAGCCTGGGTGTGTTTACATGCCCGGAGAGCAGAACTCCTGGGTTCTGGCAATGTGACGTCACCGTTTCCATGAGCTGACGAAATGGGCTAACGAGTTCCCAGCTGCTGCCAGCCACACCCACCAGCCTCTCATCCCATTAGCACTGGCGGCCTGACTTGGTCTCTCTCATGCTGAGAAGCAAAGACAAAGACCTTAACTTACCCCCCCACAGCAGCCACAACACTGGCAGTCTCCACAGAGGGTCCCCAGGAGGCCGTTGATCACCTGGATGGCGCAGAGAATCATCTGGATTCCTCCTATGATCAGCAGGATGGAGAAGAGGGTCAGATTCCAGGGAACCACATTAGCTGGTGCTTGGCACAGCCTCCATAAGTCTTTGTCACTGAGATAATTCCTGTTGGTGACATGGGGGATAAAGGAGACATCTGTAAAAAGTATGCTATTACCTAGATTAGAAAGTCACCATAGCAATTTTTCTTGTGCAGTACTTTCCATCCAAAACAAGCTCCATGAGAAAATACTCTGTAATAACAACAGTAAAAAAACCAAAACCTGGCATTTTTGTTGAATACATCCTATGTGCCAGACCCATTCTAAACACTTTATTTGTATTCACTTATTTATTCCTCATAGAAACCTACGGCTGGTTCTTTTCTTCCATTTCACAAATAAGGAAATCAAGGCACAGAGAGGTTAAATGATTGCGCCCAGGTCACACAGCTTCTAAGGCAGAGCAATTTTTGGAACTGACCAAGAGGATGGGTAAATTCACTATCTATGCACGGCCAGAAAAATGAAGACACACTGGGAGGAGAATTTCACAAATGCTCATGGCTTTTATCTTAGCTGTTGCCAGTAGTGAACTTTTTGACTTTTGACAAATTATCTGTCAAGTCTAGTGGCCATCTGAAACCACGTAAAGTACAATTGTGTCACACGGCTCAAGGGAAAGGCCTGATTTTTTAAGGTCTAATTTAACTAAACGATGAATTTGACTCAACTATATTTTTTGTTAACGTGTAGGAATTCCACAAGCAAAAGGAATTAATTTTCTTTAAAAGGGAGAATTACTCTGCTGCCTTAGTACATATTTTACACAAACTTTGAATTAGGAGAAGTTGTAATATATATCTCATTATATAGAGCGAGCTCGCTGCAATTCAAAGGCATCGTCCTGAAGGAGGCATGTGAGGTGTGTGATCCCGAGACAGAAAGGAGAGGGAAGTGTGTAGAATCTTGTGGGTTACGTTAGCTCCTTCTCACATTCTCAGAGCCAAAGACCATCCGCTCCATCTTTCTTTACACTTCCTCCATCCTTTCAGGGCCTCAATGGAAAAGTCTCTGTCCAGCTTGTGAGTTTATGTTCATCTTATTGTTTTTAGATCTTTATGTCGACCTCTGACATTTCCGGTGAATTCTCCAGTGCTTCGGACACATTCCTTTAAATACATTCTCTACTGAGATTTCAAAAATTCTTTAAAATGATGGAAGATGCTCCAGGGTTCAATAGGGCAGAAGAAATAAAGGAAGAGATGGGCATTTTGGTCTTGACTTAGAAATAAAACATTGGTTGTGCATTGATTCACCTTTCTATAAGAGCATGGGTTCTAGCAGCTTGCTAGTGACCTTGTACCTACCTGCAAAATAAAGGGAACCGCATCATCACATCGTGGGGTTACTGTGAGGATTACATGAGCTAACATGAGTAAGTGCTTAGAACAGTGCCTAGCATGTAGTAGTTGCTCAGTAAATGCAGTAGTGTCTTATTTTACTCAATCCAAGCAGCCTGGTCTAGTGGAAAGACCTTGGTATTTTGGATTCAGATGAACCTGGGGTTGAATCTAAGCTTTCTTCTTACTATCTGTGTGTTCCTCGTACAAGTTACTAACCCTTCTTTGGCATCAGTTTCTTCATCTGTGAAATGGGCTAAGAGCCACCTCACAATTGTGAGCATTCACCGAGATGATACATCTTTGTTGTTGCATGAGACTGTCTTTTCAATACCTTTTTTAAAAAAATCAAACATCCATCTTTCTGTTCTGTATCTTTCCATGTATTCCTTTCTATCTTTACGATTTTTAAACTTGGAGATTATAAAAGGTTCAAAAGATACATACAACATTTTCCAGGCACACTTCATAAAGAAAATATCCTGAGGTGAGGTAACTGGCAATCCTGAGTTCCGTCTTGGAGATTATAAAAGGTTCAAAAGATACATACAACATTTTCCAGGCACACTTCATAAAGAATATATCCTGAGGTGAGGTAACTGGCAATCCTGAGTTCCGTCCCGTTCGGCAGAGTCTGTACGTGGCAGGACGACAGCACCTCCTGGTGGTGGCACTAGTGAAACACTCACGGGGTGGGACTTGGAAGCAAGGATTGAATTTGGGTGCCTGGAGACATCTTCTGAGACCCACTCCTGTGGCTGCCTCACCCCTCACAAGCCACCAGCGATCACTGTCCTAGGCCCTCTTCTTTACCCTCAGACCCCCAGGTTGAGAGTCTCAGAGATCCTGGCAAAGGAAGGCTGTGTGCACGTGCAGTTTGATTGCTGTGTCCAACTCTCCAACCCCAGGGTGCAAGGGGGCTGGAATTTTTCATGGACCTGGTAGCTAACCACGTTTCCACCTTCTGTGAGGCAAGGAGAGCCGGGGCAATTGAAAACCACTTAACTGGCGTTTTAATGCATCCAGTTACAAAGGGCATTTCCACCTGAGCTGCAGCATCCCATCAATATTGGAGGAGAAAGCCGTGGACTTCTCACAACTCCCTCCTGGCCAGCAACCAAGGCGGCTGAGGAAAGGGTCAAGGGGAGCCAAATGCTTTGCCTGGCCCACTTTACCTGGCCAATGCAGGTGTCACCTCCTCCTGGAGAAGCTCTGCGTTGCTCCTGCTGCCCTCAGACTGGCTGTGGTACCCTCTGTGCTTCCCAGCACTCTTTTTCTCGTACACAGCCTCTGGGACCCTGTGCTGGTATCATTTGTCCATTTGTTTGTTTTCTCTTCGGGACTGTAAACCCATAAGTGCAGAGACCATGTTCCCCAGTCAGTACCCCCACTTCTGTCCCCAGTTCCAGCACAGGGAGTGTTCAGTTAATAGCAGCCACTATTGTTTACCAGGTCCTGACCGTGAGCCAGGCACGGGGCTGGCTGTTTTACATGTGGTGCAAATGCAGGTGGTCTTGACTGGAAGGCCAGGCGGACCTTCCATTGCGTCCAGTGTGACCGGGCGCGCGCTCTCCTCACCACTCAGCTCTCGCCAGGAGGCAGCAGGAGGGCCACAGCCGGGCCCAGGGTGGCTGGCCAGGGCCACGCTGGGGCCACCTGTTGTCTCAGGATGGAAGGCCTCGGAGCCAGGAGGTTCCACCTCAAAGGAAGCCGAGAGGGCAGATACCAAAATGTCCCAGGTTTCTTTTTCCTTCGGTCTGCTTCTCTAATGTGCTTCTCATGGCTGTCTCTGTTCCTTTAGTGCTTTTCTGAGGAAAATTGTGCTAAATTCTACGGCATTGAAGAGAATTCTGGGATTCTGTGCACCAAGCTAGAAATCTCAGATAACCTCCCCCTCTCCTCACAGCTAATGCTGACGACGCCGTCTCAGACAGTCTCTGACGTTTGTCTCTTTTGTTTACTTATTGATTTGGGGGCCTGGCGTTCCCAGCACTGCGCTGCCAACACGTGAGCGAAGCGGCCAGCCCACTGTCTCACCTGCACCCTTCCCTTCCTCCTCACCGGCCAGCGGGCCGTCAGTCTGCAGGACGTCCCCTGCTGCTCCCCGAGGTCCTGCGGTCCAGCCTGCCTCTCAGTCACCCCCATCATGTGGTGTCCCTTCTGCTCCTGTCCCCCACGTTCACCCTGAGCTTCTGGCTGTGCTGTCCTGATATTCCCTGAGCATGCTGGGCCTTTTCATGCCTGGAATGTGCCTTCTCTCTCTCTTTCTCTGGAAGGCAGATTTCTGCTCATCCTCCCAACCCAGCACCTGTCGCCTCCTTGGGGAAGTTTCTCTTGCACTTCTTCCCACATCCCCACTTTCTGCACTGAGAGCATCTGTCCCATGTTGTCACCTAACTAACCGTGTGCTCACGGGGCGGGAAGCATGTCTACCTCTTTTACATGTCTGGGATAGTTTCAGCACAGAGTAAGATATCAACGAAGTGTATTTAAATTTGTTTTCCTTCTACTAATTACTACTAATCACTGTGAAGCCCTGGGCAAATTAACCTTTCTGAACTTCATTTCTCTCCTCCAGGGATAAGAATTCTCAAATTTATGAGGACGATTAAGTGAGATAATGCATGCGAAACCACTTAGCACTTCGTCCCTGGGAAGGAGGAGGAGCAGGAAGAGGAGGAGAAGAGGAGAAAAGAGGAAGCAGATCATGCAGGAGAAGCAGCCACCATGGCTGCGGCCAGTGGTGATAGGGGAGAGTGACAACTGTCTGAGCCTTCTTGTGTGGGCTCAAAAAGTGACTGGCCTGTCTCACTGGGCAGCTGTGCATGTGTGTGGGTTTGCAGCTGCAGTGCTTACACCTGGGAGCCGGCAGCTGGGAAGCGTGCACGGCGCAGTGAAAAGAGCAGGCGACAAGGCCCAAGAGCTTCGCTAGAAGGGAATCGAGGCAAGAGGCAGGTGGACGGATCAATATAAATTGTGTGGTAGAAAAAGCGCGGTCACTTAGAGTCAGAAACCTTGGATTCGAGCTTCAGTCATTAAGAAACTGAATTCCTTTGGGTAGTTTCTTGTCCTTTCTGGGCCTCAGCTGTCTCACCTCTCAGAGAAAGTTACTGTCACAGACTTTTGGTGAGGATGCAGTGGAACACTGTGGGTGACAGCACTTTGTTAACTGGAAAACAGCAAGCAATAGAAAGTTCAGTTACTGTTACAAGAGACTCAAGATGAGCTTCTGCAGTCAGAGGGAAGGTTTGGAGCTGGCAGCGGGAGATAAGATCAAGAAGGAACATGTGCCGTTGTCTCAAGCTAGGAGACGGGATGTGAGCAGAGGCAGAGTGCTGCTGAGAGTGCCAGGGGACAGATCGGACGCAGAGACGCCTCCGCCCACACCCACCCGGGAACGCCCTTCCTGCAGCAATCTCGGCGGCTTCATGCCTTACATGGAGAGTGGCCTTATGTCTTCAGATCGGACGCAGAGACGCCTCCGCCCACACCCACCCGGGAACGCCCTTCCTGCAGCAATCGCGGCGGCTTCATGCCTTACATGGAGAGTGGCCTTATGTCTTGTGTGGGATTGAATTCTAAAGTCAGGGCATGAGGGGAGAAAATGTGAATAGTCAAAATCACTCTCAAATAGTCCATAGATCACCTGGAAAGTTTAATATGTGTATGGTTTTCTAATATACCCTGTACAGTAATATTTTAAAGATCACATTATAGTTTGAAGCCACTGTGCAGATGTGCAGGTATTCAAATCACTCTCCCCTCGGATAATCATCGCAGCTGTACAGTGAACAGAAGATGGGTGGGGACTTCTGAAACCTTCCTGCTTGCCCACAGCATTTACTCTATTCTGTTTTTATTATTAAACTTTTACAATCTGATACCTGTAAATGGATGAGTAAGTGCTGTTGTGAGGAGCAAACAAAATAACAGATATGAAAACATCTATCACAGAGTAATGCAAATGGCTAACATTATTCGTAATAAACGGCTGTGATGTGAATGAAAACTTGCTTCACCACAAAGACAGATACTTTGAAAAATGGTTTCCTATCCTTCCCCCAAGTTGGCATTTCCAGGCCAGCTGTCACTCTCCTGTCCTTGGGCATTGGTCACAGCCCATCCGAGCCAGGCATGAGTGTGTGTGAGGGGAAGCCGTTAGGTCCTAAAGTCAGCACAGGTGAGACCATCGTCCTGTTTGACACGTTACTTGGCATCTGTTGTGTTTCTTTTCTCCCTCCTTTGTTTTGGACATAGATTTGTTCTAATCGATTTAAAGTTCATCAAGCATAGCATTATTCATATAACAGAATAAATAGAAAAGTATGTTTAATGCTGCACTGATGCGGTTGATGGAAATAATAGGAGAAGGATCCTTGAAGCAAACATAATCTGCAGCTTCACAGACACACCCATAGGTGGGAGAGAGTGAGCTGTCAGAGGTGGCTCGGCCTTCTGGTGTCTGAAATCTATGCTCGAGCAAGTCAACCCTGTAGCAGTGGAGCCCCAAAGTCCTATGCAAGATAAAAGGGCTTTCTACAGTCAACTAAAAACATTTGGGGATCACTGCATGTGACAGGAGGATGTCAGACTGCACTGTTTAACTACGAGAACAGGACAGGGCTAGTTCCTGTGGATGCCTGTGAACCAACTGAGACCTCATGTCACAAGAGAACCAGTGCCTGCCACCTCCCCAGCCTGAAGCCTGTTTTTTAATTTCTTTAGAATCTCATGGTAGATTACATGCTAATACATAGGGGTTCGAGTTAATATATTAGTGTCCTACAGATTTTTTAGGTATGGACCCATCCTCCTTGCATAGGAAGACCCAACAATCCTATTTCCTGACCCGCTAGGACGTATCAGTCACTGTGCTGGGCAGAGGGGTTGAGACAGTGAACACAACAGAAATGGTTCAAGCCCTCCTGGAGGTTAAAGTCTGGTGCAGCACGTCTAACAGAACCATCTGCCACAGTGGAGATGTCCTACATCTGTGCTGTTCGTTACAGTAGCTACAAGCCATAGATGGCTAACGAGCACTTGAAATACGACTGGTGTGATCGAGGAACTGAATTTTTAACTTTATTTCATTTAAATAACCACATATGGCCACTGGCTACTGTGCTGGACAGCGCAGCCTAGGGGCAGAAGGACATGTGATATGAAGAGGCTAAGACTCGAAGCCAGAAGACCTGAGTTTGAGCCCTGCCTCTCCCCCAACTAACTGTATGACTTCGAGCAAGTTAAATTTATTAAGTCTGCCTTGGCAGAGAGTAACTACCTCTTAGGTTTGCTATGGAGATTAAATTATAAATTTGTGGGAAAAATGCTTTTCACAACCTACAAAGTACCATGAAAATATGAAATGTTATTTTAATGAGTTCTATTAACATTAGCTCTCATGAAGATCCTACAATGTTTTCAATGTCATATTCTGTAAATTCGCCCCTTAACAGATGAATTATAGGCAACCTGGGGTGAAAGTGAAAGCCTTTGAGCCCAGTCAGTGAGTAATCATTCTCATTTTCTATTATAAGATTTGTAACAAAAGCCACTGCTCTGTTTACTAATGTTATTAGTTTCCTTGTGTTGCTGCTAATAAATATTATAGGCAACCTGGGGTGAAAGTGAAAGCCTTTGAGCCCAGTCAGTGAGTAATCATTCTCGTTTTCTATTATAAGATTTGTAACAAAAGCCACTACTCTGTTTACTAATGTTATTAGTTTCCTTGTGTTGCTGCTAATAAACATTTGAATGCCAGCAGTGACACCACAAATCTCTTCCTTCCCTCAGGCCAACTGAGGCATTATCTGTCAGTTATTTCTCCCAGTGTCTGTCAAAAGAGCAATGAAAGGCGAGATCCTGTGCAACCTGGCTCCACCCTGCAACTCCAGCTCCGTCTCACAGGAGCACCATGCCTGAGATTTATACGAAGGTATTTCAAAGTTTGTGGAAAATGGAATGAAGAGATAATATGAATTTGTCCATTAGCTTGTTGAAGATCCCTCATACAATGAACATACATTATGTTCAGTGTCTCCCTTTGGACCATTCACCTGCCTGAGCCCCTCCTGGGCATTGCAGGGGGTAGCCTTACCCGTTTTGGAAGGGGTAGCCCCATGTACTCTCGCCCAAGAGACATTTAGGACCCTTGTTGATGGCAACTGCTGAGATGATAAATGAGTATCCAGCACCCAAGAATCCAATCGCAGCAAATATTGTGGAAGTGAACATCTGAAAGACAAGGAGAGAGACAGTCGAGTTCTTCAGGTGGTCCAGAGGTCGCGCTCAGCAAACCTAACCAGCCTGTTGCTGAACATGGTGATGATGGGGCAGTTATGGGGTAGGAGCCAGTCTTTATAGTAGATGGGGCCTGTGGGGTCTCCTAGAAGGATATTGGTGTCTCATGTTCCCTTCCTCACCCCCATCCCATATCTTTTCCACATGTTCATTGATGACTGAGGGGCTGGTTATGTTTTGATACCTACAAACCATGGTTTTTGTTAATGTCATTAAAGATAAGATCTCCTTCACAGGGCTAACATGCAAGGCCAATCTATCGCAGAATCAAAGAATCTTAGGACTGGCAGTGATCTTAAAAGTTCTCTGGTCTCATTATCCCGCTGAGGTTAAGTCACTGTGGTGTCTCATATGGTAGGCAGATTCTGCTTAGGAGAAAGAGAAGAAGTCTAGAACATCTCCTCAGTGGTCCTTGTTACATTCCTTGAGGCCAACAAGATTAAGGCCAGCATCTCTTCCAAGTGGCAGCAGCCTTTAAAGGTCACCTTGACATCTCTCACCCCATTCCACCCTCTGAAAATTCTCTTCTTTAGGTTAAACAATCCCAACAATTTCAGTTCTTCTAAATATTTTTATGACAGAGATTAATTAGTGAAAAATAGATGACACTAGCATCTTTCTATTTTCAATTATAAAATCAAAATAGAAATATAGAGAGCAGTGGAAAGGATAATTCTTTCTAGTTTATCTTGTTGAGCTGCTTGACACAACTGTGTACAAAATAGAATTATAGAGTGTGAAAGCAGAAGCAATCCTGGAGCCTGTCCCTTTGCAGAACTGACTATTCCATCCTTCCTGCCTCCCACGCCCTCTACTCTGGCCCGTATAAACTTCTATCACAGCACAGTGCCCATAACACATAAATGCACAGCTTTTTGTTGGCTGTCTTCTCCAAACAGAGCACAAGCTCCTTGAAGTTGTGAGCAATGAGTTATTTGAAGATAGGGCATTGCTCCACCCTACCACAGTCTGTGGTTTTTCTTCTTCCCAGCTTACCAAAGGCACCGGAGAAGTACTTACTGGATGTTTTCAGTGACTAGTAAGGTTTCATATCACTAATTTTTTACATTTTTCCCCTAAATTTTTATGTCTAGGGTATCTTAAATTTACTCTCACCATCAAGAACATTTGTGAATTTAATCTAGGTTAGAAATAAATAAAATTTTTTGTCAATTTACCATGCTAGAACAGGCAATCTCTTTCCCAAAGGATGTGTAGATGGATAATTTGGGGACTTGCTGGATTATGTAAATAGGTTTCACTCCTGTTGTACTTTTAAGAAAATTTATGATATGCTAATGTGTGTGAACCTCTGAGAAGGGGATATACCATGTATGCTGGAATATGAAGAAACTGATTAGCTCTCAAATGATCCTTCAGAAGTAAGGAAATTGCCTTATGACTGAGTCCTTATTTCATTTATCAGGCAATAGGGTACTTCCTCAAATACTTTATTTTGAACAACCAAATACTGTGTGGAGAAGACATTAGTCAGAAACAACCCACTCAGGGCCGGCCCGGTGGCACACTGCTACAGTGCGCCGCTTGGGAGTG